ATAAAAGGAAAAAGTTTTAGGTGAGCAAGAAAACCAATAGGTTTATCAAATGATATATTTCAAGTTCAGAGAAGTAATCCTAAAACAGGAATAAGCAGTCACAGGAAGTAAAGAAGGATAACCAAAAAGGAGGGGAAGGAGAACTGAAGTGAAGAGGAAAAGAAGAAAGTACATAAACAGACCCAAAGGTTTGAGTTAAAAAGGTATGGGTTAATACTTTTCAGTTAACTACTAAAATTAATCACTTTTCTTTTTTATTTTCATGTAAACAAAAAAATATTAGAATTCATCTATCCAATAATCAAAAATTATTCTAACTAGAATCTATTCCATAAACTATTTCAAAGTGATAAATATACAATGTAAAATCTAAACTTTATAACTTTTAGCAGTATCAAATTCTAACTCATTTTATGGCAATGCTTTGTCTTTGTGACATTTCATATTTAACAAATTACACTTTCTTTTTCTTCTTTGAAGTGATACAAGTTAAATAAGTTATTCAAGTGTAAACATGTACAAAAAAATATCTAACAATATATATGGAAATCCTAACTGATGAAATAAATACTTCATAATAAAACAAAATGTTTAAATTATTACTACTTCAGGAAAATGTGATGTATCAAACATCTACCTATTTGCTGGAATATGTTGCACTGTCATTTGCACTGATTTTAGAAGACCATCAAAGTACAAAACACTCCAGCAATAACAGAGCTGGCCATGGAAGTTTCATAGCAACTAGAGGAAATAGGTGTTCAAAATCTTTTTTCCATGAATGACATTGGAAGCCCTATCATGGCTTGCAAAAACCTAATACTTTGTACACATGGTCAAGGCTAGCTTATCATTCCTCAAGATTATGTCCAAGTCTTTGAGCCTCTCTCAATCTAAGCAAAATGCCTCAAAAATAATTTTTCTAATAAAAAGAAAAATTAATTATAATAATAATAATAACAATAATAAAAAATTAATAAAAATGATGAGACATAAAAATTAAGGACTTCAAAATGCACCTAGTGTTTCTGCATATGACATTGTAAGGCTGACCTCTGAGATGCTCGGTATGGACAAAGGGAACAAGCATACGGTTTCTCTCCTGTATGAACCCTGATATGTTTGTTTAGAGCATATTTTGTAGAGGAACGATACGGACAGTGTGGACAGTCAAAAGGTTTCTCTCCTGTGTGGGTGCGTATATGTTTGGACATGTGGTCTTTCCTAACTGTGGTATGATTACAGTAAGGACACTGGTTCCCCTTGGTGACGGCTCCTCTTCCACTGTTCCTCGTACCATCACTGTTCAGTCCCACCTGCCGGGAATGCCTATCTTAATTAATGTTCTTAACTAATACTATTAAACTAATTTTAAATAATGAGCAAAAAACAGAATGCAACATACTCCTTGTTTGAATTTACTAGTAGACAACATATTATCTGTCACAAGAAAAATAAGTAAAAATTATAAAAAAGAAAATAAAAAAGAAAAAAAAAAATCAGACCCTTACATACAAAGTAAAATATTCTCAATTCTTCCAATACTCTTTTTCATAGAAGCACTACTTGCACTGAGGTAATGTTATGAATGGTGTTTCAGCATGTGCCTATGTAAAGCAAACTTTTGAGTAGCACGGTATGGGCAAACTGAACATGAATAAGGTTTCTCTCCCGTATGGATACGAATATGCCTGTTCAATGTATTCTTTGTTGAAGCGCAATACGAGCAATGTGGGCACATAAATGGTTTCTCTTGGGTATGAGTACGGACATGTTTTGTCATGTGTTCTTTTCTATCTGTCGAGTACGAACAGAAAGTACACTGGTAGACCTTGCTGTGAGCTCCCGCTGCTTTATTCCTCTTACCGTCTCTGAACGCTCCCACCTGCGAAAACCCTTTTCTTAATTACTATCATTGAAACCTCTTGTAATGCAACACATGAAAAAATGTATATACAAGTCTAGGCTAATTTCTTGAATAATGATAATAATAATTGTTGTATATAATAGGAACATTTTATAAACTAAAGAAAATATAGTACAATTCTGGGAAAAAATAAAAAAAACAAAAATAAAGATAATCATGATAATAATAACAAAACTATAATAAAGACGACATTATGAACAATGTAAGTATAATGATGATGGTTTTGGTAATAAAAAAAAAAAAAAAAAAAGTAAATGGAAAGGGCATGGGATAAGAAGAGTTTGGATGAGGGTGAGAAAGGGAGGGAAGGGGGGAGAGGGAATAGAAATGGAGATGGAGAGGGAGAGGTTGATGCAAGGAGAGCAGAAGGGGAACAGGATGGGTAGGGAGAAAGGAGAGGGAAGGGAAAGGAAAGGGAAAGGGAAAGGGAAAGGGAAAGGGAGGGGGGGGGGCAGAAGAGGGCCAGGAGGAGGAGGGAAGAGGGAAAGGAAGGAGAGGATAGGACGGGAAAGGGAGGAGGGGCAGGGAGGAAGGGAGAAGAGGAAAGGGAAAGGAAATGAAAAGTCAAGTTAA